ATAATGGGATTTATCTGGGATGACCTTTCTCGCCCTCTCTCTTTCCGCATGCAAGGTCTGCCCTGCATGACCTAAGGAGAAGGAGTTTCAAGTTATTATCTTTATCAGCGTTTCTGCTCAATTGTAGTTCGTGTTGTAAGCATGTGTTTTCAGGTGCCCATGTCTCCGGGGTTGATTTGTATCAACAAATGTATAGCAACTCCATCAACAATGCGGACGAATTCTGGAGGACTGTGGCCAAGGAGCTCTACTTCGAGAGCGATTCCAGGAAGGTTGCCTTCATTGGCTTTCTTTGAGCTTTTTATTTACTTTTGCCTCAATGCCTGCTGTTTTTCAAACAGCATTGAGTCACAGGCGGGCTGAAGGAATTTTTGATTTATTTTCCAAGCGGAAATTTAATCTCACGGGGCCTTTCACACAGTTGTTTTGGCCAGTGCTCGTTAGACTGCTTCATATTCATGCCCTCCCCTCTTCCTTTCATCCTTTTGGCCAGATCAATATATTGACATTTTTAAAGATTCACACATCACTTACGATGAGCTTCAGGGACTTGAATGGAACTTTGACTGCCGCAAGGGAGATGTTTTTGTGCGTTTCATGGATGGAGCTCGAACAAACATCGCATACAATTGCCTGGAACGAAATATTAAAAAAGGCAAGCCCACTGAACGCTTTAACTGCTCCGTTACATTTATCTCAATGCTAGCACAATTCCACAGATAAACCTGCGACAAAAAAAGCATCTTGCACTCTCAATTTAAATATTTTTTTTCGAAAGAAAGGAAAAAACTTTCTGAAAAATTTTTCAAGCACAACAGCAACAGCAGCAGCGAACCTCGTTTAGGCTAAACGAATTTCTGAAATGCGTTTTGAGCGAAAATTTAATCTCAAAAAAGTCTTCACACAGTTGTTCCGACCGGAACTCGTTAAATAGCCTCAAATTCTTGGCTCTTCTCCCCACACTTTTCCCTCTTGGCCTGATCAATATATTGGCTTTTTTTTTGCGGTAAATGCAAACAATACAAAACACAAGTTCGATCATAAATATATAAAACAACTATAGTTTATTTAGACAAAATTTGCTAAATGTTCATTATAAGTGGAAATTCAGGATTTGGATCTCGTACGGCGCTGTTGTGGGAAGGAAATGAGCCCAGTGATAGTCGATCAGTAACATTCCAAGATCTTTTTGACAAAGTGGTCACATTTTCTGCCGTTTTGAGATCTCATGGAGTGCAAAAGGTATTTCATCAATTTATGCATTAACAGAGAAAAGGTAAAGAAACGAAAATTTTGAAAAGGCGTCACAAAGCCTTAATGATACCTACAAGCTGCACTGTGCTGTTCCTGTTATCGTAGAATTTTTTTTACTAACAAGATCCCACCAATATTTTTCGTAGATGGGATATCAGTCAGTCGGTTTCTGAAGAATTGGCGCGCATATATTGAACAAGAATTGAGTATTAACTAGAATTATACAACTCTGTAATAAAGGAGTTGGTATAGCTGCGCTCGGCGTGTGAGAAATTACAAGTGAAATCACTAACATGGGGTCCCAGTACCAATTATCCGGGTGTCTTGGTATTCTTGAGATAACTCACAATAGAAAGAATGAAATATTACCCTGTTTGTGTGCTTTGGTCAACCGTTGTTTCATCGTCACATTCCTTTTCGCAGTAGATATAG